GCTGAGAGACAGTTGAGATAGCTTTAAGTGTTATAGAAGATTACCAAAAAAGGAATTATACCTAACTGTCACTAAGTGTAACTGATGCATGTTATGTTATCTGCCTACTCATGAAGGGGCGTGAACCCTGACATATAAAACTGTTTATCTAAGTGCTTACTCTTTGAGATAGACACGGAAGGTGGTATTGTGCACATCTCCACATGCATGTGCTTAATTAATGATTGTTGATTGACTGGACCTGCTCTAAGTATTGGTTGTTTGTTCTCAGCCCAACATCAAAGAATTCGGGACGTAGCAAAGTCAACCTACCTGCATAGTTAAAAAACAATGCATTTTACCATTCATAGTATTATAATACATCAATCATATACTTTTTTTTACTTTGTCTGGATTATAATCAATAAGCCTTAACACAATCAGAACTGCAACTGAACTCAATTTATTGTGTTTGATGGACCGCAATTGTATAAAATAGATCCATACATTAAGCTTCTGTCAAATGTGTTGTATTTTGCAATAAATGATGATATTTTCTTTTTGCCTTGTGGGGTACAGTGAGTAAATGTTATTAATTGGTACACTACTATCTCAAAAAAGATTGGCACCTTATCTTGTATTTAGAAAAAAAGGTCCCCAGGGAATGCAAATGTGCGAGTGTCACTGTGAAGCCTCAAGTCTGGAATTTCAAATGTTACCATTTTTTTTCCTTTCTTTCTTTTTTTTCATTAGATATGGACACAATGGCAGAGCTGAGGAGTTGGTAACTAAGGCTGCAGCTCAATACCTTGGATAGCGGAGTATATCCAAGCTTGTGATCAACCAGAGTCCTAGAAAGAGTTATAATCACTCTTAGACTATCACAACTGTTTTTATTGTCTTGGAGCAACTGTAAAGACATAATTTCCTTGGGGATTGATAAAGTATTTTGATTCTGATTCTAACAAGGAGAAGTTTTCTTTAGAAGCATTGTTTGAATTTATTCCTGAATTGACTAGAACAAAATGATACTAACTGAACATTCTATCTTGTGAGGCAAGTAAAAAAGTAATTTTAAAAAAATTGAATACACTGTTAAGTAGACTGACAATGGTGACCTCTTACTACAGAGTCCATTTCTTATCTTAAACTATCTGATCAAAAGTGAAGTGGTTGGTTTTCTAGTTTAAAATGCTGACACTGGAGAGAAGTGAAGGCTCTGACAATCCAGACAAATAAAACCAACCAAGACAAATAAATGTAACCAATAGACAGAATTTAGATGTTGACAAAATAAAGAGCAAAACAAGCATGACAATACTGTTCTGTATGTTGCATGGCTGCCTTTTCTTGTCATCATGAAACTGCAGTTACCAAATGTCAGTGTAATAAAAAAGATCAGACATACAAATTTGCTTTCTTTTGTTGCAATAACATATTTCTCATTTTAAAATAAAGCATCTGATAAGATCCACAATGTATGTGTAAACAGTGCCAACAACACCATCTACAGTCCTATTCTTTGCCATAAGAGTGTGGTGAGTTCTTGGCTATGAAACTGTAAGAGGGTAACGATTATACTGTTTTCAACAATACAAATCCAGAGATTTATTAGCTCTGAGAATTTTCTTCTTGTAATTCAGGTATACTAATGCTCTGTGTACATAGACTGTGATTCCTGCTTCGCAGTTGGTATGACATGTGCTTATGTGCTTTATTAATAGTCAGAATTAATGAAAATAAAATCAGGAAATGTAACTAATCCCCACGGGGAAAATGCCTTTTTACCATGGGTCAAAATAAATTATATATAACCTAAAATGTAATAAAAGAATTTAAAACAACTAACAAATATTTTATGGCAAATAATGTATCAAATGCAAAGAAAAACTGAGTAGAAAATGGCTCTCAAAGGAAAGCTGGGGCTCAGGGATTAGCATGAATTGTGTGTTTATGGAAAGGTCAAATGTCAGTGAGCGAGATAGTGTCCTAAATTGCTCCAGGGTATGGTTACAGAGTGCTTAACGGACATAGAATAAATGGATATGTGAATGTGTGGGTGAATAAGGATTATGATAGAAAGAGCTTTGAATCTGTATATAAGTACCTGTACATTTACAATAAAGTAACAGTAGCATAGTACCACAGAACTTTTAAATAAATAATTTAAAAGAAAAACAAGGTGTTGCATGACACAACTGAAGTAGTGGCAAACTTGTGAGATATAAGAGTGACTTATGACGATCACTTTAAGTGCATTTGTATGTAAGAGATCAGGCCATTAGGTGGGTTTTTATTTTTATTTTTTTAAAGCCTCCATATCATTATAATGCCTGTTAATTCTGAGAACAATTATAACAATTGTATTAAACAGCTTATACTGTTTTTTTCTTAATTTTCCTTAAGCAATTGTGCTTCATTAAAAAAATGATTAGTGTCAGCTGGAATTAAGAAGTTCTGCTTTTTATATATTTGCTTCTACACTGATGGTATTTCATATATACTCTCCCTTGCTTGTTAAAACTGAGGATTGAGGGTAAAGTTTTGGGAGGCAGCTTCTTAATGAGGACAGCTATAAAAGTACCCCACAGACCTCCAATGAAAACACAAACCTGGCATCCACTTTAATTACTGATAAATTGTGAGCCAGCAAAAGGCAATGGATTTCCCTTCCCTAGAGGCTCTAATCTGTTTAAAGCTGAGTACTGATCCTAACTGCCGAGTTGGAGGATTTGATAGCAGGTGCCACTGTGAAGTCCCACAACAGACGCTATCAGTCTTGCATCCCAATCTCCACATCTCCCGGGGACTGAATTACAAGCTTGCCTCTGTGTGTCCAAATTTCTGCCATGTCTGATCATTCAAATCTGCTTGATCACACATGGCACTAGATTAATTATAGTCAGGCACGCTGCTTATGTGTTCTTATGTTGTCCCTGTTAGTGTGAAGGAAATGTCGAGACAGACTGTTTACACATGCACTGTTTGTACACTGCACAAATGTGAAAATCCAAAGCTGTTTAATTTAGCACAGTGCACACTAAGTGCTTAATCAGTCATTTCTTTAGCCTCAGGAAAAACACAATTTTGTATACTGCTCAAAAAAATATTAGTAAACCGATAAAGATAATTAATTGCTACTAAAGATTATTACCATTAACTACTTTATTGCATTATAATACATAAAAACTGTCTTATTGCAGAGTGTCATGCTAAAGTGTAATAAGAATCTCTGCAGTTTCTCATTACATTTTAATCTCTGTAGTTTCCATTTTAATGTCAAATTCATAACAAATTATCTGCATTCACTGATTGTGACACATTTGTCACACATTCTAGAAAACTGTCAGTGTAACCTGTTATTCAGTATAATCTAGTTTCTGTTTTCAGATCTATATCCACCAACTAACTCTATTATAACAGATATGTATCATATGTATGTCGAATGTGATTCTTCATTTTTATATTAACATTTTGTAGGTTTCCTTTAAATTATATTATATTCGTTGTCAATTTATTATCAACTTAATCAAGGTTTTGGAATATTTAGTTGTCATTTGTGCCCTGTCTCTGTGGCTGTCCCCTTGGATACAGCAGCTGTCCCAGCTACGCAGCCCAGATAAGCATAGTTTCTCTCCATCACTCTACACCAACCAAGCAAAATCCAATGCTGAGTGAGAAGGACTTGTTGCCTCCTGCTCTCTTCAAGTCTGGGGAAAAAAAAGACTAAGCTGTGCCACAAAATCTGTAGAGACTAAGAATGATAATTTTATTCTTGAGATGGCTGATTATAACACATTCTCTTCTGTCTCCATGCCAGACTTTGTTTTCGGTTTCTGAACTACTTGTTTAATTTCCAAGCCTGATAATAAGCCCTTTTCTGGGAGGCAGTGGGGGGGTAGAGCGTACAACCCGATCCAGCGCTGAGGTGTGGGAAGCCAGATCGGGCGCCCCCCTTCCAGCTCTCCTCTCTCCTATCTTGTCCCTTTTGTCTTACTCCTCTCTATCATAAGAGAGAAGGCTCCAGGCATCATAAGGCTACATAAATGTTAAAGATGTAAGTATTATTTCTCAGTTGCAGTGAATAGATAGAAGAAAATAAACTATAGAAACTAAACAGAAGAAAGAGAAATAATAACTTAACATAAACCAGTGACACACTCCGGGGCCTGATCAACCCTGGCAGGGCCTCCTTGGATGAGGGTGTCTAGGGATAATGGCCAAAACACCCAATGAATCCAAGGTCCACTACTGGCGTTTAACCGGAGCTTGAGCCTGTGGGTCCCACATCTGATCTGAACCAGCACCTGAGCATCCAGTGACAGTGGGTCCTGCTCCACTTGAGCCAGAGGAAAAACTGGAATTGCCATCAAGATCAGCCATCAGCCATGCTACCAGAGGTATTCCATCACTTCCATCGACGTTCCTTCGTCAACGGCCTCTGACAAAGAGTTGCTGTTGCCATCACTGGCCACCTACCAAGTGATCACAAACCTGTGAACCTGCTCCCTCACCTTCACAGGCTTCCTTGAGATTTGCACCAATGGACTCCCGGTCGGCCTTCAGAGTTGCACCATCTGTGCCGCTGATCTTCAGAGTTCTGCGTTTGGGACCCACGCAGCAGCCATGACATAGTCCTATTAGTTATTCTAGAGGTGTTTAATATATGTGTGACCAAACCTCAATAAGCACACACATATGTGTTTATGAGATACCACCAATTTATTTAAAATTACTCACTGTTGCTCATGTTTTAGGCAACAAATCTTGTGTTAGATGGGGTAGGACTCATCACACAGATATCCAAGATAATGGAGAAACATGTAACATCTCCTTAATGTTGTAAAAGCTTGAATTTTGAGTGAAACCTGAGTCTTTTCCTGTACTTTGTTGCAGTTCAGTTTATTATAATAAATTTTCCTTTGCCATTGTAGCCCATTGTCCTACAAAGATGGGTATGATGGTTTGCCGCAAACCTTCAACAAATCATTACTGATTTAATTAACTCACACATACCAGAATTCAATTGATAAAATTTCTGATTTCTTTAATCCATCTCCATCCCCAAACCTTCCCCCAACCCAGTAAAGAAAATTTAAGTCAATACTTTTATTATATTTAGTCAGTTCTAAATCGTCTGTACATGATTTCTGTTTTCATGAAATTCACACCTAGGGCTGCAACATCATTTTCTGTGTTAGAGGAACCAAGAACAAGCATAAATGGACTTTCAAGAGGACTTAGCAGAGGTGGTCAAAAACACAGCTCATGGGGCATATACAGAAGCAGTATAATTTGGATAAACTATGTACAATACAAACCATTCATACAAATTAAGCTCTAATATATAGAATTCAATACATTACATTTGCTATATTAATTGACAATGAACAAGTCTTATCCCCAAGAACCCACTGATCAGTCAGTTAATCCGAAATTTTGTCAGTTCAAAATATAGGCCAGTCATCGAACTGACTCAGTAGCTGGTTAAGTTCGTTATCGCAAAAAGCTCTCTGATGATGACCGAGGACTGATCATCTTACACTATCTGAAAGTCTGTCGTTAACAGGTTTTCTCAACTGGCTGTAGAAGAAGCCAGCCTGGTAACCTCACTTATTAAACTACCTCACATTTCTAACAGCATCACACTCACATTCAAATCTTTGTTGTCATCCTCAGCCTCTTTTTCTAATAACATTTGAAGGATAGTTTTCATTCTTTTTAAACAAGGAGCTAACTTTTTTCCATTATTCAGAATAAAACGCAGAGTGAAACTGGTACAGCAGGGGCAAACAGTCCATATACTATCAAGAGTTAATACACTGTATATTGAAATATGCTAAAAGAAAACAAGGTTATTAACATTCAGTTGGACTACAAGTGTGATGTAAAAATAACAACAAGAAAGAGCAGAGTTCAATAATGAACAATTCGTACTAGTACTAACCCAAGATGACCCGAAGGCCATTGCTTTCGACAAAATTCAGCTGGGATAAATCATAATTAAGGGATAAAATTCTAACTGGTAATCCAAGGTTACTTTTAAGCAGTTTACAATTAGCACATTTTGTAAGAATTGAAAGTTGCTCTTTGCTCTTTCAGAAGATTGAACAGGGGAATCATTTGGGCATAGCTGACACTCTGATATGGACATGTTAAGGGATAGAAGGGCTAACATACAAATGTCTCTGGCCTGGATAGAAGTCCTAGTCTGTTCTCCACTCGACCACTATGTAGTTTGTGAGTGTATGGAAATGTCAGCCAGAGGGAAAGTAGGGAGTGTCACTGTGGTAGTTGTAGTCTGGACACACTTTCTGCACCAGTTTGTAGTCGGTGCTGTAGAAGGAAATGAAGATGCAGATGACTTTGAATGGTTTGGAGCAAAGCCAGGAGACATGGCTCTGAGTTTGCTCTTGGTAGCATGTCTTGGATGGGTCAAAGTTGCAGAGTGTGTTCTTGGCGCCCTTCTCAACCTTCTCATATTCTATGCGACAGTTGAAGGACTTTGAGTCCTTGGCATCAATGACGGACTGCTGTGCTGCCACATCAAACTCAACTATCTTTGTTGGAGGGACCAAGCTAACAGACACATTGCCCTGCCCTGTGGAGTTGTGGCGAAAGTAGACACTGAAGGTGCCGTTTCCATGATCTACAATCTTACCAGTGATTAGCAGGTTAAGTTTAACTGTCTTAATGTTTGAATGGAAGTCCCCCCAGCCAAACATCTTCTTAAACTTTCCTGTCTTGACCATAGGCCGCCGCTTAGCCCGTGGTCGTGAGTCCTGCAGGTCCGTGGAATTTCTCAGCCAATCCCAAAGATCCTGCTCCAAATAGGGCTCTGGAGTGTCATAGTGAAGATCCAAAGCTGTGCTGTTCTCCTTGCCTTGTAGAGTCTGTGATAGCAGCCTACTGATGGACATTTCCTTATTACTTTGTGTCCATATATGCTTAAGCGTGGATTTCAGATTTCCTGATTTGACAATGTCTGACTTTGAAGGATGAGCACTTGCAACCTGGGGAAGAGAGTAAAAACATCTATTAGCTGAGAGTTTACATCAATATGAGGATGCTACGTTAGGATCTAGATATCTATGAAATGAGCAAATTGCAAATGAGAAAACATTCCTTTCACCAGGTGCATATCTACACCAGTTAGTCACAACGTTAAAAGTTTGAAAATTGAAAACGTGAAGAAAATATTCAAATTTAATGTTTTGTATTAAAACCTTGGACCCTGGTATTATAGTGGATGTTACTTTGACACATACCATCCAGAGAGTCCATACGCATCATAACACAACACCCAGAGGATCTTCTACCACACAACACCCTGTCCCTGCACCTTGGTCCTGGCTTGTAATGCCTCAACGAGCTGTTCTGGCAGTACTCAGGGGATATACAAAATATTTGTCAGGATGTTTTAATTTTATGGCTGATTGATCTTCATGGTACTGTATGGAATGACATGCAGTGTTTACATGGAAGGTTTTGATGCATGCTCAATCATGTGGGTAAGGAAATCCCCAAAAAGTTGATTCTGTTCCCCTGGATAAACTGTACATTTGCCTAATGACTGAAAATGGCACCACTGATTAACAGTGGACTGTGGGGTCAGTTTCATGATCGTATGCAAATTGTCATGGCCATTGATCAATGACCAAGAATACCATTCACATAGAGTTGGCGAATGGCTGCAGTCACAGCATTGTAAGATCCTTACAGACCAGGGAAGCAGAAGAACATCATATGAAAAAGGCTATGAGTAAATGTGGTTATCCCAGCTGGACATTTGTCAAAACTGGTAAGACACCTAAGGGTGCGCCAAGCGATCCAGGAGAGAAGGTCAACGGCTGCCCAGCCAAAACCCTTTATTGATTACTTATGTGTCTGGAGTATCAGAACAGCTGAGATGCAGTTTCTCTAAACACAGCGTCTCTACAGATTTGAAACCCCCCAAAAACCCAGTGGAAAGTTCACCACAAGGATTGTGTCCCACTGGCAAATACTTTCTATGCCTCCTGTTTTTTAAAATGTGCAAAATGATGTTTCTTGAGGCAACTTTTTACAACTTGGCACGGTTAAAAAACAAATAAACAAACAAAAAAATCCTAAATTGTCAAACCTAAAAGTAGGCTACACATTTCATTTTCTACACCCGTGACACAACCGCCTATAGATAAAGCGTGGATGCTACATGCATATGTATTCTCATCATCACACAAAACCATCTAGAAGGTTTTACACATACTGTTAAAATAAGAATGCATCTGCACCGTAAAGATGTCCTAGACTGCCAGAAGGAGTGAGATTTAAATCTGTATTATATATTAATTTTAAAGTAAACATCTAGCAATCCTTTTTTATATGATTTATCTTTTGTTTTTGACAAATGTGAGTAATTTTTCTTCTCTTTCAAGCCTTTCCATGACTAACATGTACTACAGGGAGTGCAGAATTATTAGGCAAATGAGTATTTTGTCCACATCATCCTCTCCATGCATACAAGGTGTGCAATACTCAGAGACATGGCCAAGGTAAGAAAGGCTGAAAGACGACCACCACTGAACAAGACACACAAGCTGAAACGTCAAGACTGGGCCAAGAAATATCTCAAGACTGATTTTTCTAAGGTTTTATG